CGACTGACCGTCAGTCGCAATGTGACTTTGACTTTTGAATTGACAGTTCAATTCCCATGGCGTGTTCAGTCGGAACAAAATGACAGTATGTCAGATAGTGATCTGTGAACTGTTGTAACCAATTGTGTAAAGGTCCAATAAATTCGATCATCATATCCGTGAGGTTCTCACGGTAGTTATCAGCAGACCGAGACAAGCAAATTCTTTCAGCCTTTTATGACGTGCGCCCCTGGGCTATGTACTCGTTTTATGTCTGTTTCTTAGTTCCTTTGACGACATTTTTTTCAGCTACATGTTTCATATAACATCGAATCTTGGGTGACTTCGAAGTCTGATTGCTAAGGACATGAAAGGAAGTGGTCGAAGAATATTCTGTGGTATCGACCGAACATCCGCTGAAGGGAGTGAGGAACACCTCAGTGAACCGCAGGTGGCTGTCGGGTAGAGAAGTATATTGGGACCTCTCGAATTTGTTAAAATACTCAGTACTTTATACACTTTTTTTTAATTCCCTGGCTTTGTACTCTTGTGGTTCTTCTCTGTCTTTTGTGTTTATATAATGACAATTTCTCTAGTGCGTAGAGCATTAGCATTAGTTGGGATGATGTTTTCAAATGATGAATTGTGAAGAATATCAAGGATGATTGCCTATTGTAAGGTATTGTTGCAGCATTCGCCCAAAGACACTGAGGGAGATGACAATAAACCTCAGAGTTATCTGCCTTCTGGCCTAGAATCGAGCCCCGAACCTCCCTAGTATGATGCAGTGCTTTTAATCATTCACCCGCGGTATTCGTTATGCAGGGAGGGCGTGGCTGATTGTATAGACCGAGATAAGCGTCCCTCCCCCCCTACTTGACCTACACGAAGATTAAATCTAATTTAATGTTTTTATACGCATTTGCTGTCGGCCGCGCCCTGTGCCTATGAGAGACTTCTTGACCCACGGCAATAATGGTTGTTCATAATACATATACATAGAAACGCATACAATGAAGAATGACTGATGAATAACTCCGTGGATAAGAGCTCTTATTTAAAACCCATTAGTCGCTAAGCTGGTCAAGAAATACCCTGCATTTTATGAAACCCGGATGTTTATAACAAAGTTCACGAGAGTCAACCACTCAGTCCTCTCCTGCGTCAGTGTAATCCAGTACACAACCTTGCACCTCATTTCCCTAAGATCCATTTGAGGATATTTTCGTCTCATTGAGTATGCCAAGGACCCTGAGAGCTATACCAGCGGTAGCGTAGCTACGGGCAGGGCCTCCCTTGTTGGACAGATCAAAGGGTAGGCATCAGACGAAGAGAGACACCGAAAACTGAATTCGGAAGCAGCGTCATCAGCAGCGACTTGAAGCACAGAGCAAATGATACTCGAGATGGTTCAAGTTCGTATAGCAACAGGCGTGACCAGAGTGGTTTGAACGGCTGCTGTGCTGCGATGTGGAAAGCAAATGGAAAAACTACCACATTATCACTTTTCCTGGATAGTCTCTTTCCAAAAACAGAAGATCGCATTAAGTGGAGAAACTGTTTTGGAAGAGACTGTGGACCTGTCGTCTGACAGATTACTGATGATGATGATGATGATGATGATGATGATGTACACCTAGGCCTCCGAAGTTGTCTTATCTCGTCAGGTTTTCCAACCAAAATTTGGTATACATCTCCTGTGTGCGTCGTACAATGTGCCGTCCGTCTCATACACCTTGATGTGACCACTCGCTTAATATTTTGCAAAGAATACAAATTATGAAGCTTCTGATTATGCATTTCCTTCTCGCCTTCAATGACTTCCTCTCTGGTAGTTAGCTAAAGATGTTCTGCTCACACCTTGCTGTCTAACTCTCGCAGAGCTCTCGATGTCGCTAGGTACTCTTACTCTGTTACGCATGTAGTTTTCTCTCTCTCTGTCTCTTTTTCTTGGGCTGGATTGAGACTGAGTCTACTTGGTACGTCAGCTACTAATTGGCCTATTGTACCAGCCCCGAATGATAGATGATGAATGTGGAGCAGTCGATGGAATGAGAATTGACAGGGGAAACCGAAGTACTCAGAGAAAATATACCCCAGTGCCACTTTGCCCACCACAAATCCCACATTGTCTTACCAGCGACTAACCGCCTGAGCTATGGCACGGCCTGTTACGCGTGTCTGCACTTTCAGAACGGAATCGACGAGAAGACAGATTGATTTAGGCACGGGTTCTACTTGTTTCTTACCGACGTCGCCCTTAAAACGCCACTAGGAACTGAAGTTTTCCTTGCCAAAACAATATTTATGTCTATACATATATATATACATATTAGTCCGTTTTATAGGCAACTTCCTGTCTCGGATCATATGGATCCCTACAGACCGCTTATGATCAACTTTCTTTTGACAATGTACATATACCTACTATGTACTTAAAAACAGTGTCGTTAAATTGCTTGAAAGTCAATCTGTCGCTCTAATCTAAATTATCATCAAAGTTGACACTTCTTACATGGCTGTGGATCTCTCTCTTTCTGTCTGTCTGTCTGCCCTCATAAGCATACACGCACATGAGATCTTTCTTTCTTCCATCAGTCCATCTGCTCTGTTACCTCCATGTCTGCTACATGTCCATTCCTCTAGTCATCCAGCTGCCGTACTTACTTACCTGCATACCTGTATCTGTCTTATGTATGTTTATCTGTTCATGTACATCGCCAACCCCGTCTATCCCAATTCAGATATTTAAAGAAATTAAAGTATATTGCATAATTTTAAGGCCTTCCATTTTGATTAACAATTTCACCATACTCTTCGTTGGACTAGGTCTGAGGTAATTTATTCTGAGGTTTCTGTTATACAAAATAAATAGAATAATGCGCCGTGCAAGGTCACGTAAGACCTACAGTTTGCCTTCATATTTTATCTTCAAATTTTGCGGAACAGATTTTGATGAAATGAGGTATTTGGGGATCTACAGATCGACTCAGAGCCTCCATGAACGGGACGTGGAAATAGCAATACTGGTATCATGCCAATTATAGCTAACTGTAGAGGAAGTTATCCTTTACTTGCCCGCGCCATAGCTGAAGCGGTTAGTCGCTGGCTTCCCACCGCGGCGACCCGGGTTCGATCCCGGGGCTGGTCAAGTGGGATTTATGGTGGACAACGTGGCGCTGGGGCAGGTTTTCTCTCCTGCCAATCTTCATTCCACCAATTGCTCCACAATCACCCTCACCTATCATCTGGGACTGGTACAGTAGGCCAGAAGTGGCCGCAGTACAAGGGACTTAGTCCCACCCCACTAGGAATAAAAAAAAATAAAAAAAAAACCCTTTACTTTGAAAATACGAATACAACTAAGAGTGTAATTGTATAGTCGAGGAGTAAAGTCTAGAAGATTGCTATAATAAATTGCGGTTCACCTCGCCAATCAACGAAATGTCTGTAATCGCTTCCACGCATTGCATTACTAAGAGAGTTATATTTTAAATAAATGCTGATGTTCACCATGTCGCTAAAGACGATCGTAAAGGTACTGATGGAGAGACCAGAACTTACCTATGTGTCGACTTCAAAGATTTTCGAAATTGAAAAACAGACAACATTTATTTCATGTAATATGTATATATAGAGGAGGTGAACAAAATAATAGAAACAGTAAGAAATTGAGGAATAGAATTTGATTGTAATATATGAACCCTTCTTTAGAAGCCTCCAGTTGCGCAGTTACTCAAGAATTTTTCAACATTTTATGGAACCCTAAGGTTCTTTACCGTGTTTTCAAGAGTCCTTCAACGGCCCATATCCTAAGCCAGATCAATCCAGTCTGTACTACCTCATTATATCTCTCTAAGATCAATTGCTGTCCTTCCACCTATGTCTAGGTCTTCCTAGTGGTCTCTTTCCTTATGGATTTCCTACCATAATTCTATATCCATTTATTTTCTTCCCAAGCTTCCTACATGTCCTGCCAATCTAATCCTCCTTGACTTGATCATTCTAATTATACTTGGAGAAGAGTACAAGTTATGAAGCTCCTCATTATGCAGCTTTCTCTAACCTCCTATCACTTCATCCCTCTTCAGTCCAAATATTCTCAACACCCTGTTCTCAAACATCCTCAGTCCATGTTACTTAATGTGAGAGACCAAGTTTCACACCCATACGGAACCACAGGAAAAGTTATAGTTTTATATATTCTAATTTTTATGTTTTTAGACAGCAGACGACGTATATATTGTATGTTACGACTGCAAAATCATTAATATTTCTTTAGTGTTCAGTAAGAAGGGCTTGAATACATTTATGTCGATTTTGACTTGTGCCAAAAGTATGCATATTTAGAGGAAGTATGACAACTATGGAATATACGAGTAACACCGCCAACTTATGCCCTTCGTAATGACGTTTTATTTCATCCCTTTTAACTGGTCAGTGAAGATATATGACTTATAGAATTCAAACCATATCCACACTACGTGTATACACACACATATCCCCTATATGGATCGAGTTCGCGCAAATATAGCTTAAGATATTCTTCATGGGTATGTTCTGAATTGTAGAAGTCATAAATCTTTATTGCTTGATTAAACGGGCTGAAATAAAGTCATTACTAATGGCATAAGGGTGTTACTGGTATATTTAAATGGAAATGCATTAATATAGAAAGAATCTCTTAAAAATTATTCATCATATAAGGTGCTAAGAAAAACATCAAAACCAATTTAACTTTTTAACTCTTGAATGGGCTTCGTTGGGAAGGGAGGGTGCAAGGTAGAGGAGAAGATGTCATAACTTTGCAATAGTGAAACTGCTTTGTTGCAACACCAAATGAATGCATGGGAAATGTACTTAATTCCTTGCATGGGATTATTAAGACGAAGTGACAGTGATAACTTTCTTGGTTGTGTTTGTTTATTCATTTCCATTCAGAAAAGACACTTCATAAAGGATACTATGCCACAAAGAAACATTACATAAACAGTTAAGCTCTATTATTGCCGCCAGAGAGAATCAGACGTTTACCACATAGCCCACGGCAACTGGAAGTTGGTTGGTAGAACTTAACCGTAGCTGGCCAAAAATCGATAATTCAGGTCGAACATTGTCGACTGAGTGTTCGCGAAGTGGAGTGAACATTCCAAAGGCAGGTAATCCGCAGAGAAGATTACTTGTCTCTCAGTCCGCCAGCTGAAGGACTGGATGTTACAGGGTAATCGGGGATGTCACTGGGATATTACATACGTACATGCGTGAGCTGGTAGCGCACGGGACGGAATGGCACCGCGATGCTTCCACGCGTACCGTGCATGCGTAATTGTAGTGCGTGAGAAAGAACATGTGACCCAATTTCAACTGCGTGTTGGCTGAGAATACGGCTCGCATCATGACAGGCGACAGGTGGAAAAGTGAGCTGGAACCGCAAGAAGTGCTTCAGTTTAAGAAGTGTTTGTTGTGACTGCAGCAGAGAATGCAGGGACGAAGCTGAGTATGACATTCAGTATCTGTGATGTCATGTGTTACGTTAACGAGTGACATGACGTGTCCCGTCTCCGTGGTCATGATTCGGCATGTGCACAGAAGAAACGAAATATTGTGTGGTCCTACTTAAATCTATGCTGTTTCGAGTTTAATAATATTTAATAATGATTTCTCTTCTGGCCGCAGTATATATTTTTAACCAGAATTAAACGTGTGATATAAGCAGTCGTTCTGTTAGCAAGATGCAAATAAACTGCGTCACATTTGCGACTTCAGTGTTGTCGTTGTCTTCCATTAGTTTATAGATGTACATTCTAAAGTAGGATACTTGAACCCCTTCAAGTTTTGTAAAATGTGAGCGGGTCGTGTTTTATGTTTTCATACCTACAGTTAGTGAAGTCACGGATGCTCAGTGTTAGGTTCCAGAAACAGGACATTTCGTTGGAACTGAACAGAGTAGTATTTCTTGTTTTTAAGGCTACACAGCTCTTTTAAATTGATTGTTCTCCAATCGTCTGTAGACACGTAATTTGGCTTATGAGTTATCTGCTTCTAGCGTAAAACTTTCGGACCTTAAAATCAGTATTACGTGTTAGACCTTTACTTGGCTGGGCACGCGTCAAATATCTGTGATAGCCATGGATGCCGGTCTGAAGAGGAACAAAGAACGCACTCCACGGCGCGAACTTAGTCTGAATTACGACCGCGAGTGACCTTTGGCTGTCGCTGTGACAGCTATTGACAGCATTCTGGGCACGAACAGTCTTAGTCCGGATGGTGACTGCGATTGACATTTGGCTCTTAAGTCAGGAGCAACGACGTCGTCGGTTACGACGACGATGAACGAGGCCGGTGCGGTTGTGTCATGCTGCTCGTTCCAAAACCGCCTTGCCCCGCCAGAGTATCGTAAGTGGCGCCGTGTTCACGGTCTTCAGCTTCCTCTGCACCCTCAGCAAGTTGCAGGATGGTTGGCACTCCTCGGTTTCAGCGCCGCCACCTTCCTGGTGCTAGTCCCCGCTCTAGGGTCCACCCTGCGTTTCCCTGTCCTCGCAGTATTAGCCTCCCTCTTCCTGATTCACATGTCTTCCCACCTGACTGCCCTCCTTCTTGACCCGGCTGATCCAAATCTTCGACTGCTCAAAGTGGCAGTCGCCATACCCGAGTTCGATCGCTCCAAACACGCCCATGTCATCGAGAACGGCCGCTGTCATCTGTGCAACATCCGGACCTCGAGCCCTCGGACTAAACACTGTAGCGTGTGTAACAAATGTGTCGAGCGTTTTGACCACCACTGCAAGTGGCTGAACCACTGTGTAGGTAGCAGGAACTATGCCGCGTTTGTCGTGTGTGTCGTTTCTGCCGTTGCTGCTTCAATGATAGTGGTGGTTGTGTCTGCTGCTGAGCTTGTATTCTACCACACTGACCCAGGATGGCTGTCGCTATGGGAGAATTGCAACATTACCACATGTGAGGAACCAACCACTCTCGTTTCCATTGGAGTATTTCCGGTCAAAGATACTATATTCCTTGTAGTAATAGGTTCCTTGGGGGTCCTTGGGTCGATAACAGCTGGACTGCTACTGCATCTCTGCCTCTTCCACGTTTACATTTCTTTCCTGGGCATAACCACTTATGAATACATCCGGAGTTACCGCCAGACGTTTGGGAGCAGTGCTGTCGCGCCTTCTGGACAGCTCAGTCCAACGTCTGAAGCTTTAGTTCGTGGACAGCGAAGAAGATTTAAAGTTTTCCGTTGCTGTGGTACCTCTGTTTCCACCACTTCAAGAGCGAGCCCCAACAACACTGTAATCCCCGCAGAAGAGCAGCTAAGACGAAAATGTTGCCTAGATCCACCACCACCACCACCACCCGCGTCCCCGTCACCGAACGGAACTGTGAATCGCAGCGAGAAACATTGCCCCTTATTTACGGCAGACAATAGCAGTCACAGACACCGAGTTCTGTGTTGCTGCCTACCTTTCAGTGAACATCCTTCGTGCACAACGAACCAACACCCGTCCTATGGTGACTCAACTCAGACCAGCAGTGAGAGTGATAATCAAATTAACAGTGGTACGAATGAAGGGAATACAAAATGTATTTATTGTGTTAAAACACCAAGAATACGACAAGGAACACCAATTGAAACCGAGCCAAGAGAAAGTAGAACTGAACATTGTTCAGTTTGTCATGATTCTGTTGAATCTGCTGACAACGGAACCACGACGGAAGAAACTGAATCAGTAACTGACAGCGATCGCAAAGTGGAAACAGTGAACACCAAGAACGATACGAAACATCCATCTCAATGCCAGTGGCCAAGGACGACGATTCGCTGCGGCGCTCTGTGGACATGCGTTTTCCGCCAACATCACAGTTCTCAGTCAGAAATCTCCGCACAAAGTGTTAGATGCAATCAGATAATGCCTTCGTCCGTCTCCGCTCCACACGGCCATCCCCAGCCACAACCCCTTCTCGTGGTTCCGGCGCTGGAAGAAAATGTTCTCAAACACTCACCGGACTTCTCTGCTGTTGCCAAAGAAGCGTCCCTCCCGGCTCTTGCACCTCCCACGCGGCGTCGGCGTCTACGTAGTGTAACGGATCTAAAAAAATTGAGTGATGCTCTTGCGATGGTTCAGGAGCCCCAACAGAAGGTCCCTGACGTGGAGACATTGAGAGCCGCGTTTCTTGCAACATCTCAGCGTCGGCAGAGGAGGAAAAGTATTCATCGCACGAGATCTCCTGGCCTGTCTCCCATTCGAGAGTCCGGGTTATCCAACCCGTCTTCTCCACAGTTGTCGGGCTACTCTAGTCCTGCTTCTCGGAGATCAAAAGTCAAGGAAACCACTTTCCGTTCTTTCGACAGTGGTCAGCACGAAGTGAGGAAGTCGGTACAAAGGTCACAGAGTAACGACGATGTAATCTTCACAGTACGTGCCCCTTGGCAGCAGCCGTTCCAGTAGGCCTGACACCAACTGAACCGTTTCGTAAGTCGATACATGTTTATGTCCTATTTTATTTCATCGTTCCCCCGCGTCGAATTCAACCCTGGTTTCCAGTACTTTTTGGAGGTTTGGGGTTGGGGTGAGACTGAGTTCACTTGATACGTCGGCCACTGTTTGACCTGTTGTGCCAGCTCCGAATGATGTATGATGATGAATGTGAAGCAGTTAGCGGAATGAGAATTGGCAGGGGAAACCGAAGTACTCGGAGAAAACCTGCCCCAGTGCCATTTCGTCCACCACAAATCTTACATTACCTGATCTGGGATCGAACCCGAGCCGCCGCGGTTAGAAACCGGCGACTGTTCCAGTATGTAACAAATCAATTTACTGAGAGAGCTTTCTCGGCTCATCTCAGAAGTAACTTATGAGTTTTTGCTGTAGACGGTACTATTAGGACCGCCTCTGTGGTCTAGTGGTCAGCGTTCCTGGCTACAGATCCAGAGGTCCGAGTTCGATTCCAGACGCTATCAGATTTTTCGGAGAAGTAGTGGGTCTGGAACGGGGTCCACTCAGCCTCGTGATGATAATTGAGCTATTTCAAGGAAATAGCGGCTCCGGTCTAGAAAACCGAAATTAACGGCCGTGGGAATTCGTTGCGCTGACCACGCGAGACCCTCTATCCGCAAAAGTTGTCACTAACTTCGCCGACAAGCGGCGGTCGCTCGGTCGGTATAGTTCGCTTGCGGACTTAAATCACGGAGTTTGTTTTTGGTACTATTAGACTCTGATGTCAGCATACCGCCAGTTCTGCAGCTGCTCAAGAATTTCCCAGCATTTTATGGAAACCGAAGGTTCATTTACGTGTTCACAAGAGCCCTCCACTCGTCCCTATCCTGAGCCAGATCAATCCAATTCGTACCATCCCATCCTATCTTTCTAAGCATAGAAATGTTCAAAATTGCATGTTGGTTGTAACGGATGGGCGGCCAGGTTTCGATCTCCTACTGCTGCTCTCGTCATCGCAGTATTCAGAACTCTTCAGACAAACTACTCCACATTCAGGTAGTACCGAGACCCGTTCCCCTGAGTGGAGACCACCAGAGCATGAAGTTTACCGTTCGGTTTCGTGTGAAATGTTATCGTCAGGTTTCATCTTTATGACGACGTGCGGAGGCACTGCAGTATCTTTACGGTAACGTCACAATGTGACAAATTAACCGTAAAGAGGAAAGGTAGCCTTTACCGAATTCATAAAGTAGGAGTGGAACGAGAAATGAACGCACACAGACATGCATGCCTTGATTTGGATTCGAACCCACGATCCAAGCGATCCACGTTCGAGCGAACGAAAACAGTTCATGCCTTAGAACGCACGGTCAGTGTGACCGGCGTATGGCTACTTCACTCTGAAAATATTAAAATGGTAAATGTAAAGGTGTCCCTGTGCTTAAATAATTAAGTACTACACCAGGTAGACGTATGGTGGAGTGGATGTATAGATCCACATGTTCTTGATCACGGCACTAGTTGGAGGTGAGTGGTCAGGTTCACGCCCCGGCCGCTTTAAACCCGGAGAAAGAGCCCTCGGTACTCATTGGATAGGAGGCTGGGTGGGCACCAGAACCGGTCTGAAGGACGTTTACTTACTCACTCATGGAGCTGAGCCCTTCTGGAGGAACCCCCAATTCTGCAGCTACTCAAGAATTTCCCAGTACTTTATGGAACCCGAAGGTTCATTTCATATTCATAAGAGCCCTCCACTGGTTCCTATCCTGAGCCAGATCAATCCAATCCATACCATCCCATCCTCTCCCTCTAAGATCCATTTTAATATTGTCCACCCACCTACGCCTTGGTCTTCCCAGTGGTCTCTTTCCTTGTCTGAAGGATATAGAGAAGAGAAATATTTTGCCTCTGCCGGGACTCGAACTCAGGCGCCTCGGCCTTCCAGCTCGTATCCAGTCGCTGTGCCGAGTGCGCCACCCAGCTCCTCTGAACAATATTACGTCGCGAGTGTGTGGGTGTAGGCATATACGGACCCGTGTGTGCAGCATGTATATATGCTCTGCTGCGTTCTCCGCTCCTATCATTTCTTGTATGAACAACCCCTTGATCTTTCTATGAGAAAAGAATAGAAATCGATTTCATAATACGAAGGCATTTGGTATCATTTGAAATGTTCCCTATCAGCAAGAATAGAGACTAGTGTAGAAATATAGGTATTCACTGTTACAGTCAGTGTCGCCCTACACTGGCACATACATTCGTACTCTGATATACACATCATGGCAGCCATTTTATTGACTAGATCTTCCATGCGTGATTCATATCCAAGTGTGGCCGTGTTCCCACGTCAGTCATCCCTTAGCACATTTTATGCTGTTGTTAGTAGCGTCCCGCATAATGATACCATGGGTTCATTTCCCTCGTGTCACTATTGGTTTGCTATTTATACCATGACACTCACATATATATATATTTAAGCCCATAAATAAAGTTAGTCTGGAATAGCAGGAAAAATATGTCTTTATTTTACAAACTGTTTGCTTCTCGAATCCTTTTGAACGGTAACATTCTGGAAGAACTCTTGACACCAACCCATTTTTATTCAAATGGCTGTTTCTGAGTTATTGTAACACAACGAGTGATCCCTATGTAAACAAAGCACTGAAATCAATCAAACTCAAATTTCAGATAAATTTGGCTTACCTAATGCGACAGTTGGGTTTCCTGTCTGTTTGAAGTCATCACTTTTTTTTAATTTGTAGGATGGGATGAGACCTAGTCCGCTTGGTACACTGGCCACTATTTGTCGTATTGTATCAGCCCCGGATGATAGATGATGAATGTGGAGCAGTCGATGGAATGAGAATTGGCAAGGGAAACCGAAGTACTCTGAGAAAACTTACTCTAGTGCCACTTTGTGCACCACAGATCCAACATGACCTGACCTAGAATCGAACCCAGGTCGCCGTTGTTGGAAGCGTGCCACAAACTGTCTGAGCTAACACGGCTTAATGTTTTAAGGCACCTACAATATCAGAAAGCAGTTTGCTCATATCATGTACTGCATTAATTCTGCTATGGTATTTGACTTCCGTTGCTGCACATGTTGAGAACATCGTTTCATTTGTACATATACAGATGTAAATTGAAGTAACTTCTTTGCCGCTAGGCTTAAAATGAGAGGAAACTCCTCCTGCAAGTCAGCTCAAAAGCTGATCATTATGAGCTTCATATCTTTCAATGCCGCATCTCTATAAATATCAAGCAATCTATATGCGTGGAATTACCATCATCACAACGTGGTATGTAATCAGTAATAATTATATACGTATTTTTATTCGACTTCAGCTTAAATGACCATCCACAGGTTGATGACTGACCCACACAAATTTCTTCACCAACAGCATCTTATTAAACAAGGCACTCAGGAAAGATATACCAATCTACAACAGACTAAAGGAAACTACAGGGTGATTCATATAGAACCGGTCCGACGAAATGAGCTGTAATATAAAATATACCATACAGATATTAAAGTAATTTACACATATCTTATCTTGGATTGTGTGCCGTGATCAGAGCAGGTGTTGAAAGTGTCCGCGTTTGCATATTCGCCGTGACTCGCTGCAGTGTTTCTTCAGTGATATTCCTGATTTCAGCCGAAATGTTGTCCTTTAAATCCTGTAACGTACGCGGTTTGTTCGCCAACACCCTGTCCTTCAGTAAACCCCAGAGAAAAAAATCCGGGCTGGTAAGGTCGGGGGATTTTGGGGTCCACATCTTTTTAGAGATGACGCGATCGGGGAAGAAGCTCTCAATCAGTTCCATGGACATGTTGGACGTGTGGCACGTCGGTAAATCCTGCTGAAAACAACCCTGTGTAAGTTCCACATCATCCAGCTGCTGCACGAAATCGTAAAAAATACAGCAATATAAGGTGCTGTCCACGGTCGTGTCGAAGAAGATCGGTCCAGTGATTCGTAAACCAGAAATGGCGCGCCACACACCCACTTTTTGTGGGTGTAGTGGTGTATAGTCGACTCAGCACGGCCCACGGATTATTATGTCGTAAATGTGAGCTGTTATATGCATCACCTGCGGAATTATTGGCAAATTCATCGGGCCGGTTCTATACGATTCATCCTGTATTATAAACATACTACGCATTAAACCGCAACTGATTTCATAATAAAACAGAAGCCCATAACTTACAATGATCAAACATCATGGGAGATCAAGAAAAAAAAAGTCAATGTAGACAAGACATAAAGGAAGATCAACATTAAGCTAAAAATCGCCGATACAGATACAGTACATCAGCTTCCGACAACAGTTTACAGATCCTGTATCTGAAATATAAGCAACTCTACATAACGACATTCTAGAAAACCAAAAATAACGGCTTGAGCAACAGTAGAAGAAACAATATCAATACCAAATGTTCAATATGAGAACCTATAATAATAATAATAATAACCCAGACGTGACTAACATAAAATTATAAATGAACATCACGCCTTTTTATTTTTTAACTTATAGTATTTTAACAGTTGGCAGTGTTTTAAAACTGGGTACGCCGTAGCGTAGTTTGTTGAGGCACTATGCTACAAGCGCGAAGGTCGCGGGTTCGAGTCCAGGTGAGGTGAAGTTTTTAAATTTACCTAATCCATCCAGGCACACTATGGCCCTGGGGTCGACTCAGCCTCAAACAGAAATGAGTACCAGAAATCTTCCTGGGGGGAAAAGGGCGACCGGCGCGTAAGGCTGACAACATTACCGCCATCTCTGAGCCGATTGTATAGAAAATATGGGACCCTCAACGTCTCACAACCCTGTGTGTCTTCACGGCCTGTTACAGGGATAACTATACATGTACTTAGTACATAGTTTTAAAACTCCTAAAAATCATGATTATTAACTTTTAAGAATTGAATGTAACCCCAGAAGGCCACATTGATTTTACATAGACTGATGTATTTGAGTAGACATAATCAGTTGATTCGCCAATGGATTAATGCCTTTGCTTCAGGAATAACTACATGACATCTGTACGAACTTTTGAATAATAACGGTTTCATCGCATGACAGTGCTCTGGAATAATAAGGAAGTACATGAAATGCTACAATTTACGGGATTGACTCAGGTTTTTTCGAATGCAGATCGCCTGTTCTCTGTGCTAGATAGTTCTCTGCATCATCATGTGTGAGGTGAATGGGCATATCAACTTCCAGTTCATTAACCNACCCCCCCCCCCAACCCACTTTTTCTCAAACTATAGATTCATCGCGAACTTAACTAAGGGGCGTCGCCAAATTCTCGGAAATTATTTAAAATATAATTGTATTTACTCAGTTTTGGCAATTTAGTAAGATTTATTATAGGTGATTTAAAAAAATGTATTTGCAGCCAGCGAAACATTTTGCGAATTTTTCATGACTGTGCAGAAACATTTTATAGCTTACTGTAAGTGTGAAGCTACTCGTATTTATGTTCCTGCTATCACTGTGCAGCCTGATAGAGACCTGCAACAATGTAAAGTACTTCACTTTTCACTGACTGGCAGAGACTAGAGGTCGCATAAATATATTTATTATTTTAGTGGTCGTGGTATCACAGGGTTTGAGAGTCACTGCCCTGACCCATAGATAGAACCATTTTGTACAGAACTTTGACATTGTCAGTCCTGGTATTATTATAGTTAATTAACAGAATGCAAAATTTGTGTAATATGTTCTGCATAGCATGTAATATTTTGTTTTGCCCCAGATGCGTCAACTGTTATACAGCCATCTTCAGTACTTTAACATACTATTATTGGTTTAATACCAATCTAGAGAGCTGTAGATTAGAACAGTGTTTAAAAATCTGAAAATATCAGTTGGGTGACTGAAATGAGATGATAGCACGTAGTACAGATTAAATTGTAAGTTATTTGACTCTCTTTGACCACCTCTGTGGTCTAGTGGTCAGAGTTCCTGGCTACAGATCGAGAGGTCCCGGGTTCGATTCCCGACGCTACCACATTTTCTGAGAATTAGTGGGTCTGGAAGGGGGTCCACTCAGCCTCGTGAGGATAATTGAGCTATTTCAAGGAAATAGCAGCTCCGGTCTAGAAAACCGAGATTAACGGCCATGGGGATCCGTTTGCGCTGACCACGCAACATCCTCTATCCGCTAAAGTTGGCACTGACTTCGCCGACAAACAGCGGTCACTCGGTTGGTATAGTTTACTTGCGGATTACAGACAACGAAGATTTTTAGATATAATATTAAATGTATTATTAACATTGTGTCATGAATAATATGTATTTTCAGTTTCATGTTTCACTTCAATTCTAATGAGAATAAGTACATTAATAAGAACATTAAAGATAGGAACATTTCTTAAAAATATCCTTAAACTACAACAGTAGCAGTACCCCCTCTGTGGAAACAAAACATGAACTTTAAATATAGCTCGTCATAATTGAATATCCATTTTCAAGATGTACTGCCTGAGATCAGTATCAGGCTCCGTCTCTCGAGGTTAACAAGAAGTGCAAGGATCTAGACCTAAGCACTGTAAGTCACCCCTGTATAGGGGCATTAACACAGCTCAAAAGATTAAAGATACTTGTACAGTGGCTATAACATTTTGGTGAGAAAACATCATGAGAACAGGCCATTCAGGAGGATAATACATTGTGATAATAGAAGTTTCAGATGGGCAGGACATATAGCATACAGAATGTTGGTTGAGAAACCTCCATCTTCAGGGTTGAAATATTGCGGGTTGAGGAACTGGCTGAGTGGTATAGAAAGGTTGCAAGGAAGATAGTCACTCAGACTCATGGAAAGGGGTAAGGATACTTGATTCCAGTGCAGGCCAATGGAAATAGTAAGAAGAATAATAGTCCTTTTCTGGGACACATTATCACAGGAGGAAAATGGCATTGTTTTCTCACAATTCAGTTTCCTTGTGGTAGTTCCAATAAATCTTATACTGACCTTCTGGTCCAAGAGCTTGCACAGCCCTGCCTTTGGGAAACAAATATACTGCTTTTAGGAAACAGATAAAACATTACAATGGACAATATTGAAAAAATTTACAGATTGTTCTAGTAGAATCAAAGATTGATCCCTGCATATATTCTTTTCCCACATGGCATTCAAACTAGAGGCAAATACTTTGGCCTGCTGTAGTGTGCTGTCAGGCAACTAAAACTAAAGGAACATAAAAGTACAGAGTGTCTCCTTTTCTTCAGTCCCTAAAGTACAATCATCTTGAATGTAACATCATGTAATACAGTAGAAATACACCAATATTTCAGAAGAACTTACTGCCTCCATCTTAATGGTTGCAAAACTAAGCCAAGCAAGTGGCCAGAAAGAAGCCACTAGCAAGCAAAGCTGTGGACATTGGCGGCCACATAACCAACTGGTGGAGGTGAATGTAGCGGTGCCAAAAACAAACCAAGAAACCAGACTAAAACTAAATATATTCATACTCACAATGTCCTGCTTTCCATTCTCAGCCCAAAAATCCATGTCCACTGATGAAAATTTGTCATAATTTTGCCCNTTTTTTTTTTTTTTTTTTTTTTTGCAATAAAATGCTGGAATGATGCCATCAGATGTTCAGTAGCGGCAGTACCATGAATCTTCCTGGTTGCAAAGGATGGTCAATGCATAAGAGTGACAGCCTCACTGCTATCTATGAGCCAATTGTCAAGAAATTGTGGGAGCATCAACATCTCACAAACCTATGGGCCTCTAGCACATGTTACAGGGATAGCTTATTTTTTTTAACCATTCTGAAAACACTCGTGCGTTGATTACTTGTATTATTTAATATACAACCTGCAATGCTTTCTGTATACAGCCTACAAACTAAACATGAAGGATAAGCTGCACCAATAGCACCCCCTTCTGCTGAACCTAAAGGTACAGTTTTCCCTGTGCTCAACAAATTTAACCACTATGCCCTGAAGGCATAGGGGGGAGTGGATGTATAGAGCCACATTTTCTTGACCTCGGCACTAGGCCCAGCCGCTTTACCCCCCGGGAAAGAGTCCCCGATACCCATTGGATAGGAGGTTTTGTGGACCCCAGAGCCGGTCTGGACAATTTGAAGAAGAGAAAATTCTTGACCCTACCAGGATTCAAGCTCTGACCCCTCAGTTGTCCAGCCCATAGCCAGTCGCTATATCAATTACGCTGCCCCAGCTCCTCTGCTGAATGTTATATAATTAAAATTATATGTACTGGATGAAAATAATGAACCAAAATTTGGAAATTTCTTCTGTAAGGAACATGATGTTGTTGGCAGGTCTGCATGTTGCCACCTTCTGAGTTGGGAATGCAGTTCTGGAAAGAGGCATTGGGCTCGCCATGCTACTTGGTTGCCCCCATGGTTGATGCCAGTGAGCTAGCATGGAGACTTCTAAGCAGGCGCCATGGTGCACATTTGTGTTACACACCAATGCTCCACAGTTCTGTGTTCATCCGAGATCCGAAGTACCGCAAAGAGGCTCTGGCCTCTTGTGTTGAGGACAGACCACTCATTGTGCAGGTATAAAACCTGTTATGTTTATATGCATCCCTGCTGAACACCAATTAAAATATCTCTGGCCATACTTGTGCATGAAACAACTTGAGAACCGCAAAATGGATTTCCATGAAATCTCATTTTGGAAGGCCTTATTCCAATTTATTGACACTTTCTAGCTTAGTTAAAATTGGACAAAAACAACAGAAGTTTTGCATGAAGACCTATTCGAGTTTCATGCATATATTGAGTATAATACTTTTCCAAATATTTATTGGAGTGATAAATGTTTTCTTAAAAGTGTAGAGAAAAATGAAATATACATTTTATGTCCAGTAAACTTTTTCCATAAATCTTATATTTTATGAAGTAATGAAACAAAGCAATACATAATTGTTATGCAGATGCATATCTAATTATTTTGGGCAAAAACTGACTGTTGTAAAGTTAATCACATTAAAATATATATAGTGTAAAAACCATAAGTTGTATGTCACTGTATTTGATTTCATATTTACTGTATCATCAAAAATTTAAGAGCTATAGATGTTAGTGAGATCAAGATTTTGTTAGTATGGACAAATTTTCTCTCACATGAGCCACTTCATGTAAAGTAAGGATTATGTTAGACCAATTCAAACCAATGCAAAATTTTTCCAGCAACTTTTAGTGTTCAGATTCCCTGGTATCAAATTTTGTATAATCCATTCAGTAGTTCATGTGATACAGCATGGGAACATACAGGCATGACCTCCCCTCAACATATGTGTTTACTTCATACACTTTTTTCAAACATAAGGGGGCACACGGTAGCATAGTTGGTTGAGGGTCTATGCTACAAGCCGGAAGGTCGCGGGTTCAAATCCCGATGAGGTAATTGGATTTTTTCAGTTGACCTAATCCTCCCAGCCGCACTAGGCCCTGGGGTTTACTCAGCCTCTAACAGAAATGAGTACCAGGAATTAATTAAATAATTTTCCTGGAGAGTAAAGGGTGGCTGGCATGTAAAGCTGACAACCTTACCGCCATCTTTAAGCCGATTGTCTACATAGTGTGGGGCCGTAGAGATATCTGGCGACCAGCCTAGTTTGTAAAGTATAGAATATTTGTTAATATCTGATACTTTTAGCATTTTTTTATGTTTGTGTTTTACTTTCAGTTCTGTGCTAATGATGCACAAGTTCTGCTTGAAGCTGCTCTTCTAGCTGAGCCTCATTGTGATGCAATTGATATAAACTTGGGATGTCCACAAGCAATTGCACGCAGGGGACATTATGGGGCCTTCCTGCAGGATGATTGGCCTCTTCTAACAGATATGGGTGAATATAAAATAAGTTCATGTATTGTCAACTTAGGGGGAACGCGGTAGCGTAGTTGGTTGAGGCACTATGTTACAAGCTGGAAGGTTGTGTGTTCAAGTCCGGATGAGGTCATCGGATTTTTTCAATTGATCTAATCCTTCCAGCCGTAATATGGTCCTGGGGTCAACTCAGCCTCTAACAGAAATGAATACCAAGAATATTCTTGGAATATTCTTGGGGGTAAAGGGCAGCTGGCGCATAGGGCTGACAACCTTGCTGCCATCTCTGAGCTGATTGTCTAGAAAATGTAGGAACCTCAACGTCTCACAACCGTATGGGCCCCCACGGCCTGTTACAGGGATACCTTTACTTACTTACTTGAAGAAGTAAGATGTGAGAATGTGGTCTGGATTGATGTAGCCTAGGCTAAGCCCATTGACAGGCTCTTGTGAACATAATACTGAACCTGTGGGTTCTGTAAATTCTGGGAAAGTTCATGACTAGCTGAGCACTGTTCACTTCTCAAGAAGGACTCCGCAGCATGGAATTAATTAGTTAGTAAATTATGAATTTCACTACATAAAAATGTTCCTGTTATTTGGTGTCTGATATTATTTGAGTGATTAAATCAAGCAGAGGCAGATGGGCAGTACTATAGCATTCATAGGAAGATGAGAAATGCTTAGTAAATTTTAACACAAAATCTTTCCCATTTGGGACCTAGACACAGAGGAGAGAAAAGGTAAGAAAATGGTGAAATTGTCCCTGTGCTTAACTACAGATAATTCAGTGCTGCACCATGAAGACATAAGAGGGAGTGGATGTATAAATTCCTATATTCTTGACCTCGGCACTATTTGGAGGTGAGTGGACAACTTCACACACTGGCCACTTTAAACCCAGGGAGAGTGCCCCTAGTACCAATTGGATAGGAGGCTGGGTGGGCCCCAGAACCGGGTGGGATGACATGCAGAGGGGAAAACTCTTGCTCCTACTGGGATTCAAACTCTGACTCTTCGGCCATGCAGCCTATAGCCAGTCGCTGCACCAATTTCACCGTTCCAACTCCCACATAGGGGACATCAAAATATGAGTATGAATCTTAGAGAAAGAGGACATGAGGTTGTGTACTGGATTGAAATTGTGTAGGATAAGGGTCTGTTGGTTCTCTTTGTGAATATGGTAATTAATCCTCAGCTTTTGTAAATGATGGGTGACTTCCACGTTTTGAAAAAAAAGAAGTTATGAAGTTAGTCAGTTTGTAGTAATTAGCTAGCACTCCATAGAACAGCTCATACTCTGTTATGCATTACAGTACAATGAAAGCAAGAACCACAGTGGAACAGAGTCTGGCTGATGGTATTTTGTTTTGTTATTATAGTGAGCACTTTGCATCAAGAATTATCAATTCCTGTTACTTGCAAAATACGCGTATATGAAGACATTGGACATACAGTGGAGTATGCCAGGATGCTAGAAGCTGCAGGCTGCCAAATGCTGACTGTCCATGGGAGAACCAAGGAGCAAAAAGGACCTCTCACAGGTCTCGCAAGCTGGGAGCACATCAGAGCTGTTAGGTACAACTTGCTGCAGGCTCACTAATCTTTGAATCGTCGTGAATGTCTGGTAGACACAGTACTTTTATGGTGCTGTCCCTTTATAGCTGTAGGCTTAAGGTATCATCATGTTGTGTGTCTGCCCTTACCCCAATAACTCTGAACAAACTGACAGATGCTCATGACACGTAGTATGCATATCATGCCACAGTAGGACACTTCTTTGTATTTGCTAATTTCCTCCCCTCACATATTCATCGTATTAACATGTGACGGTGCAGTATATTTTTGTGAACATGGTGATGAACATATGTGTTTCCTAAAAGCAAGAAATTTTATGACTGGCCCCACTTCTAATATAGTTAACTTGTTAAATATGAATTCAAAACCTAGACCTGTTTCACAGGGAAGGTGTAAACATCCCAGTAATAGCAAATGGCAACATCCAGTGCCTAGAAGATGTAAAGCGATGCCTCGCAGAGACTGGAGTCCAAGGAGTCATGTCAGCTGAGGGAAATCTGTACAACCCCTCCATATTTGAGGGACACAACCCTGCTGCTTGGGAGATGGCACTGGAGTACTTAGATCTAGCTGAGAAATATCCATGTCCCATTTCTTACGTTAGAGGACACCTGTTCAAACTATTCCAACACTGGTAGGTCATTCATTGGCATATTGCATTCACTGTCAAGTTTTGAATTTCTAAGAACAAAACCTGCTTTGGAGGTTATTACGAGTAGAATCATGTTCAGAATGGTTGAGATACATATGAAGATACCAGAAATGCTCAGGCAAATGGAAAACTAATACCAGATATTTTGCTCATGCGTGACATTCCTCAGTGAGGGAGTGATACCTATTAGAGCAAGTGAAGAAGTTTTGTGTCTTGCTGTTTTGTCCTGATAAAATAATTGCTGAATGAAAGCATACGGTAACCAGTGTATACTATCAGCTATAAAATGAAAATTATGGTACTTGATAGTGCCTTTTGTTTGTGATATAAATTCTTGAATCTACTAAAAAATCTGTGTCAGTTTTTAATTATTTAATTACGATGGGGTACCCAAAAGAAACCGAACTAATTTTTTTGTGGGCAGAGCTTTTGTAGTACCACGTTTTGCCGCTATGGGCGCATACAGCTAACATTCCTGAGTCGATAAGCCGACTACCGTTGCTTCA